GTGTGTGTGTGTGTGTGTGTGTGTGTGTGTGTGTGTGTGTGTAGGCACAGCCTCCATAGTGATCCCTGTGCTGCTCCTGTTGCTGCTGGTGCTGCTGGCTGGAGGAGCGTTGTTCTGGTACAGGAGGAGGATGAGAGGGTGAGTCACAGAGGAACACACACATCAGGAGACCGTGCTGACTTCTTTTGGCCTTTTGCATCCCCTCTTTCCCTCCCTCTTTTACTTCCCTCTTTCCTTTCCTCAGTCTGCACTTTTCCTCTCCTCTCTGTAATGGCATCTCTTCTGCTCCTCAGGTCTAGCCGGCCCGGCAAAACCGGTTCCAGACGCTTGCGGTAACGGTTGCCAGGGTTACACTTTTCCCTCCATGCCAACATTCAGTTTTGCATCCTGACGCTCTCTCTCTCTCAGATGCTTTCTGTCGTTCTCTCACTCATGAGTCGTGGTCGCTGTGCAGTGTTTGGTCCTGTGGTGAATGTCGCGTCATTCTCACTGATGTTCATGGGAGCTGCAGCTTGTCATGCTCCCGCAGTGTTTCTCTTTTTTAAATGAATTGCCCTCCTCTGAGCAGCTCTGAGGCAGATCTATTATAAAGATGCATTGAATAGATCTGTCCGTGCTGCAGATCTCTCATACTGGTGTCCTTCATTGTGTGCTACGTTGTACTGTACTGTGCTGTGGGATGTATTGTGGTAGTGTCTCTCATAGTTGAGACATGGGACAGTGCAACAGCATTCTTCCAAGCTCAGATTGGAAAATGCTGTTTGAAATGTCCAGCATTTACTCAGAGGTAGATGCAGATATTTACATTGTAGAGGATCTGTTGTGGGGTGATGTGAGCAGTCTGTACATGAACAGTCCCATGACCAGGCTCACTGTGTCTGGGTCTGTCCTGGGCTACATGAATGCTGGGTTTGTGTAGGTGTCTGTGCTGTTGCTTAGATCCCTCAGCCTGGATGGTGGTGAGAGCCATGCAATGCCTCGTCCCTCCCTCTGTAATGTGGCTGTGTCCCTGCTTGCCCTGTTAAGGCTCCTATAAGTTTAAATAAGAAACAAATGTGTGACTGTGCCGTTGATATTTTCTGTAGGGCAAAGGGCTTCCAGCACCAGAGGATGACCAACGGTGCCATGAATGTTGAGATTGGAAACCCTGCCTACAAGATCTATGAGGGTGAGCCTGATGATGATGCCGGGGAACTGCTAGACGCAGACTTCACGCTGGACCCAGACAAGGTAGAGACAACTGTACATACAGTATATATACAGTGGGGAAGGAAGTAAAATAAAAAAAGTAAAATACCAAATCAATAGGCAAAATTCCATCCCACAATTCATTGCAGCAGCAACATTTGGAAAGTTTATTTTGTTGTAATTTTAATAATATCAGTTTTGATGCTACTTCCTGTCCCCACTGTATAAACTGAAAACATATTTTCTTAGGTGTTATTTTGCTTTGAACAGGAAACTTTACCATTACTGTAGGTGAACAGTGAGCTTATCACTGTACTGTGTGTTCTGTACATATCTTCTGTTATAAATAAAGTTGATTTTGAAAATAAAATCGTATTTTCTCCACACTGTTCTCCTTTCTTAACTTCTTACAGCTTCTCCTTCGCAGCTTTCCTTGACCCCGTGACCTTTTTCATGGGGGTCAAGGAATAGTGATTAGGAAAGAAGTTCTTCACCAGTGATGCTGCTGCAGGAGGGGGGGTCTAATTTTACCTGCCTGCTCTGATTAGATCAGTGGACCAGTCGTCCTCTCGTCGTTGATTACTTTTAAAAATATAAAAATCATGTGACGCAATAATGTAAAATGTAGTGGAGTAGAAAGAACAGATATGTAGCGTGGAGTAAAAATGAAAAGTACCTGAAAATAAATCTACAAAAGTAAATTACAGAATCATGAAAAATGTGCTTCAGTACAGTAATGAAGTAAATGTACTTTGCTACATCCCATCCCTGTATATATGTAAATATATATACTTTATACCCACGTACCGTAACCTCCTGCACTTTATGCTATAACTAACGGATGATTTTTGATTATTTCCAGCCCACTAACTTCACAAACCCAGTATATGCCACTCTGTACATGGGGGGTCACAACAGCCGCAACTCTCTGGCCAGCACAGACGAGAAGAAGGAGTTGCTATCACGTGGGGATGAGGAACCCCTCGTGGACCCACTGTCATAGACTGTCCATCGGCCTGGATCATGCCATTCCAAACACACCCCTCTTCTTGCCTTTTAAAGAAAAATGAAACAAAAAAATTGACAAAAAAGAGTGAGAGAAAATTGATAAAAACGTGTGAACACTGTATAAAATGTACAAAAATGAAGGACTACTTTTGTATGTGATTGCAGTATTATATTTTGTTCTTTTGAGATTCCTCTGGTCAAAAATGAGTAACATTTTCTATGAGAGATTTTTAATTTACACTTTGTCCCTTACCCTTTACCTAAATAGCCACTACCTCTGTGCAAAATGAAATGGAAACATGGAAATCAGAAGAAAAGATGCTATCATTGAAGCAATTTTAACTTTTTATTTTTGTATGAATTGTATAGAAAAGAAAAAAACATTGTTCCATTTCACCAGTGCCAACTGTTTGTTTGTGTTGACTTTGAGCGGGAAAAGGCAAAACTCAAAGTTTTCTAAATCGGTACATATGTTTGTCTGGCTGAGTTTTCTCAGCGAGGTGGTGAGACAGATTTGTGATCGCACCGTTTGTGTATAGCACATGTTAAATGTCAGTACCAGATGGCAACTACAGTATTTCCACATCACTCTTTTTTTTTTCTCAGAGAACAATGCTCATGAAATGATTGTGTTGTCTTCCTTGCACAGAATATCATGTTTTACGGTAAAGTGTATACTGTGGGCTTTATACCATGAGATGTAAAGCAGGTGTTTGTTTTTTAATCACATTGTACGACAGTTGGAGCTCACCTGTTGCTGAAACGAGAGGGTGAGAAACGCTTTGATGTGCGCTTATGCAGAATGATGAAGTTGGTCACACGTTAAACATTCCAGGCAAAGTGGTGGATGGAGATCGCAGATGTTTAAAGAGACAGAAAGGATGGATGCTCTCATGGGTGCGGTGTTAGCTGGGGGAGGCCATAGCTGAGACTTACAAGCTGTTTGTTCCAGGGTCTCCCTCCAGAAGGAAAAGGAGGCTGCAGTTATGGTGAAATAGTTGGAAAACTTTGATTGAGAATCAAATCCTCCAGTCCATTACTTTGTTAAAAAACAAAAACACACAGATAGTGTCTGTCTGGCTTTTTGCGTAGATTTATCTTTCTACCTTTAGAGGATCAAAGTCTGTTTGACCACAGTTTTGTAAAGACTTAGTCTTACTTGCATTACTTTCATTGGGTCCTCAGCGTCTGTTTTGAAATGAGCTCTGTCTGATCTCTCATGCTCTGCTCTGCTGCTGCTAATGCTACCATTCTGGTTGCTCTGACACATCCTTACACTCAGCCTCTGCCCGAAAAATGCTGCTTCTGTCAGAAAATGTGTCAGCCATATCTTAATGCATGAGAACAGTAACACCGATCGTTAATGTAACTACAATAACAACTTTTTATTTTGCTTACCTGTCAGCAAGTGTTATTTTATGCTGTTGTATATGTTTTGTCTTTAATTGAGAAAGAAGTACAATCATTTTACCTAAAGAACATTTTTGCAAAATCATACATGCATTTTCAGAATTTTTTTTGATTAGTCCTTTTTTTTTAATGAAAAATGACACATAGCTTTTATAGTACACGATGCATGGAGGCTCAGACTTTCTTCTGTAAAGAGAATAATGTTTAATTTTTGCTGGAGTACTTTACAAACTAAATAACAGATATTGTTATAAATAAAATTTTGAAAATTGTGGAGAAAACAAGCCAGTGTGTTTTGTTCACAGCCTGTTGTATTTCTCATGACACTGTAGTGTAGAATATCAGATTGTGTGCTGTCGATATTTACATTCATGTCGAAATTAATGGTTTTCAAAAAAATTTTAGCAGAGCATTTAACAGAATAGATCTTATTGTAAATACAATTTGAAAATTATAGAGAAAAATAATGAATGTTGTGCATCATGTTCACATCCTGTGCAGATAAACAGAAAAATACAGCGATGAGTCGGTGTGTAGTACTTTAATCAGCTCTTAGGTGAACAATAAATCAGATGATATGCACTGTGCATATAAAATTAAATGAATACATTGAAGTTTCATTCTTACACTCTTTATCCTTCAAAGAAAATCATATTTAAAACATGCAGATATCATGTTGCTGAACAATTCAATCTAAAGCTCAATCTCAAAGGAACGCTAAATGATTATTTGAAAAACTACAATTAACAGCATATAATATAATAACACTTATTGCTGGTTTTACAAAATCAAATAAATCAAAGATCAATCATCTGGATTTCTGAAGGACTTCCTGCATGTTAAATTAAGACCTGTGACTGCTTCAGAGTTCACTTGATGCCTTTAGCCTTCAGCTCCTCTTTCACTCTGATCAGGTAAGCAGGATCAGGATAACCAAACCTGTGGAAAGAGAATGTACAAGGTTTAAAACAGTAGTTCTTTAAGCTGCTTACAGACATGCACTAAACTCCGAATAAAGGGGATAGAGGCTGTATGTGAGAACGCGTGAGGAGTTTCTCCTGCCAGCTGCCAAACAATGTCCCAATGACTCAAAAATGAAAAAGAAAAAACGAATATTACAAATATTGACTGATGAAAAAGCTGTGCCATATACATAGAAGACACAGAAAAGACGTCAAGAGACCTTTTGGTAAAAAAAAACACATGGACCGACATTCTGCAGAGTTCATGTCTCAAAACTGGCTTTAGACTGGACACTGAAAGAGTACACTAAAAGAAGAAGTAAGAGATTTGACTACTGTACCCCTGTGGTCCTCCTGACAGGGAGGTTTTGTGGTGAATGTCATTCCAGGTCACCTGGTTCTCCAACCCGGTCGTTCTGGAAGTCCCAACAGTGAAAATGAGCTTCTGGTCAAATGCTTTCTTCAACAGGTGCAGCACTTCTCTGCCCTCGCTGTTGTCTGGCAGATATGCTTCTCTGTTAACACCAGTGTAAGTTTGCCCAGGATTGGGATGTCTTTTCTGCAAAGGAGTGAGAATAAGATAATAAAAGTAAGACATAATGGAAATCATCATCATCATGCAATTAAAAGACAAAATTAATGTATTTAAATGAAGGTATTTACCGTCTGTTTCCCACTTGGAATATCATAGGTGATGACTATAGTGCCACAGTGTGGGAATCCTTTGAGGGATGACACCTTACTCTTCCAGGTCATTTTTCCATCTGGCTGGTTTCCCTCTACCACACCGAAGACATCTTTACACACAGGACAGACTGGCCCCGTGTTCTTCTTTGCTTCTTCCAGGCATTCCTTACAAAACTCATGTTTACACTTCAGCTGGACCTTATTGTTGAACTTATCTATGCATATGGGGCAGTTTACGTCTTTGTCGTCTCCTGCAGCCGCTGCCCCTCCTCTGGGTTCTTCAGTGTCGCCCCTGCTGTATCCTGGCGGCCCATTCGACACAGCTCCACCGGATGCCCCCTCTGGCTGATAATCATTAGTCTTGGGAGAGCTCTTGAACCCACTGACACCATAGCGTTTGGTTAACCCCTGGGCTGATGTGCTGATTCTCTGGTACAGACGAAGGAGAGCCCTGACAGCATGGCTCTCCATTGATTTGTTTTGTTTGGATCTTCTTGAACGAGCTTTGATATTCACTTGTCCTTGACCGAGGCCTGATTCTTTAAAGTCCACATCAAATTTAGCTTTCAGCTTAGCTACTTGGTCATTGAAGGAGGTAGTCATCAGCCCCCAGACGCTCTCTTCAATGTTTACTCCAGTGTAGACGAGAGGGTCGTTGATGCTCATGCCAATCGTCTGTGGCTCTTCAACAGAGGGTTTGGAGTAAGTTAAGGTTTTCTGTATTGTAGTACTGAGAGACTTGCTGATGGCATCTTGACTTTCGCCTGGCCCACATACCATTATTTCATTAGAGTACAGCGTAAGGAAAGCCTTGTTCTCTTTTTTCTGGAGGACTTTCAGCATGTCCTCCCATGCCTCTGGAGAAATGTTCTTGAGAGGGAAGTTAAAGCCTTCGGATTCAGTGGCGGTTGTCTGGATGAGGTTTTGGAACTCATCGTAAGCTTTGTGTATGTTTCCATATTTCTGGCATGGTGCAAGTTTTACCGTCATTTGTGCGGCAATTTGGACTCCATTCTCTTTCTCTATACGATCGATTTTCTCCTTGTAGATGTGGTTCACATACCAGTAATGGCCAATTGGGACATAACAAGTGAATGTCTTCTCTTCAGCTGCAGAATCTGCAACTGAGCTGCTAAACTCACTTTGTTCCTGCTGTTGCCCTGGCTCCTGGATAAAAACACAATGTGTTACTTTGGTCAAAAAGAATAGTTTGACATCCTTAACTACACATACATACATTTTGCAGGTCTGGCACAGATGGTGAAGGGAGTTTCATTGGAGCATTTTGTGGCACTTTTGTCTCTGGAGGACTCACTGACACTAGAGTGACTATTTTCTTGTTTCTGGTGGTCAGTGTTTGTCCCTCAGCTTCCAGCAGCTTTGTCAAAACTGAAAAAGAAGACAAATTAATTTGCCTCCTAACAAGATAAAAGAAAACAACTGAATTTAAAAAAAAACACAACAAGTATGCTGCTTGAAGTGCATGAAAGTGTAGTTAATATAAAATGTTAGTACTGGTTGTGAGAGCTAATTTGAATTTAGAAACTCAGTCATACTGCACCTGAAGCAGGTTTTATCTTAATCGAAGCTTCATCGTCAGAGGCCTTTACAACGTCGAAGTCCACCACAATGTCATACTTGTTGGCCCAACTCTGAAGAGCTTTGGTCAGTTCCACTTTATATCTTTGTGGTTGAATAGCCTCCTCCCACTTGATGAAGATAACTTGTTGAACTTCATCTTGGCTCTGTGTTTCGGTCATCATATCCTAAAGACGTGATATCATTAGTGTCACTGTATCATCAAGAAGAATCCTCAGATCGGAAAATAACAGTTTTAGAGAATTTTAGAAAATATTTAGAATCATAAATGATTCAAAATATTTTCTAAGATCCTCTAAAAAGTTATTTTATATATATATATGCATATATATAGAGAGAGAGAGAGAAAATTGTAAAACCAAAATGAACATCACTGTGCAATTTCATGTTAAACAAAAGTCATTTATTTGCATAGAGTCTGTATTTATGTTTGCCTGTATGAAAACCCAAATTTTATAGAAAGATATACTCAGAAAGGAACATGCATTTGTTCAAATTTTATGCAAAATAAATAGGTTTATTTTTTTAATTCACAAAAAAAAGGGACAGGGGTGAAGAGATGACAATACTAATTTGATAACAGCATATTAGGAATTACTGCAAAATATATTTGTATATATATATATATAAAACAAAAAATCTATTCGGTCAGACTCTGCTTTGCATGCCTGTTCTTGACTCCATCAGGTACAATATTAAGTCAATATTGGATGTCTTATGTTATATATGTGTATGTAATTGTATGCTGCAATGTATTTTATGGATGTACAGCCTGAACGATATGGATTTTGGAGGCCGAAGTTGATACTGATACCAGAGACTAAAAAATTCTGATAAAAATTGGTCCGCTGAAAAAATTGGCGATGGTTCCAAATAAGTCATCATCAAATTGTTATGACAAAGAAGAGTCTTACATTTTACAGCTTATCTATAAACTTCACTATAAAAACTAGAGAAAAACACAAATACAGCCAAATATATAGTCTGAATTAAGAAATTCAACTTTTTTTTTAAATGTCAACATAAATTCACATCTTTTCTACATTGTTAATTCTGAAAAATAGAACTTTAAACATTGCTTCATGCAATTACAGTCTGTTGCTTCATGCAATGTGATCACAGGCTGTACTTATTTTGGGACTAGTGGTAATAATGTATCCTACAAACATGTACTCTCATGATTTCACTTTCACTTACACACACAGGCCTGCTGCAGCCCCACCTGGATTGTCTATCCCCCTCATTTTGGTTATTTTTTTATGACTGCTGACATCGTATTAAAACATTTATTTCACTCTTTTTAAGTTGCACCATCTAGAACTCTGTTATCACACACATTAGTACACACAGTCTGACAACTAAAAAGAAGCACACCCACCACATCAGCAGGTCCTGGAACTTTCACGTATTCACTCTGCACCAAATAAGAGGGAGAACAGGACATTATCCAAAAAAGCAATGAGAGAATAGACAGTTAAAGCAGATGTAAACAGAGAGGATCAGTGTGAATAGTCACTGTGTGGTGTCAGCAGAGCTCCTCTAACTATCCTCAGTGTTAGATCGCAGACTTCAAACTCACTGTATCCATGAGCTCCTCAGTGTCGGCGGCTGACATGTTGACAGTCTTCTTCCTGGAGCACACAGGGACCAGCTGGTGAGGTCGTGTTAACACATATCAACGCTTATGGTGCATTCACAGATAAAGAATCCTTTACTCTGGACATGTTGACTTTATGTTTGAAGCTTTCGATTAGAACAGATGGAAGCAGACACCTACAGATTCTCGACTAACTTCAAACTTTACTCTTTACTCCACCTGACATGTTGTCGTGTCGCGGTGTGTGAAATTAGAACGTATTTAACAGTGTACGTAAGTTACATGAGACTCACCCTGGCTGGACTTACTGCTGCGCACGAAGCTGTTTCCTGTTAAGTGAAAGTGAAAGCGTTGCACTTGCGGCCACGTCACAGCCGCTGACTTCCGCCCCTGCCTCCGAGTGGATGGTGTTTGTGACAGGTTGGTTTCTGTGCTCGTTGGTTCTGAAGGGTTGAGCAAACGGAGCTGGGTCGATCTGTAAAGAACTTGATGAGGAGACACGTGGAAGCAGGGACCCGAGAATAACGCGTTACATTCAAGAGGCAGATCCAGGGCTGTTTGTTGTTGTTTTTCTTTTGCCAGATGAGAAATGTTTAAAGGGATAGTTCACCCCAAAATGAAAATTCCCTCATTGTCTTCTCACCATTATGTCGATGGAGGCGTGGGTGAAGTGTTGGAGTCCACTTAACAGTTTGGAGTTTCAGGGGTAAACGGAATTGCAGCCAAATCCAATATAATGACGTAAATGGTGACTTATTCAGAAAATGCCTCCACACTGCTCCGGTGCTGTCATCCAAGTGTCCGTGAGCCCCGACATTCAAATTCAACTGGAAACAGAGTCATTTACACCATGTTTAAAGCCTGGGTGTCCTCTGATATCCTCCTCATGCATGGATCGCATTCCTGCTACATGTGTCCTTTGTCCACTACTTCCAAAACAAATGCACATTCTGTCTGGATGAGGATTTTACAACAGTTGTCAGTGGAAACTCTACGGCTTTTGTCCAAAGAGGCGCCAAAATTAAAGAAAAATGAAAATGTCCTTATAGCTTTAGGGAAGTTTGACATACTGATGTTTGTTAGAGTGTTCACGCTTCAAAATTGGTTGAGCATGTGCACCAGTGGGAGCTTGATATGTTTTATACAATGGGAGGGAGTTGAGACGCATCGTGCATATTTACACACAAAGTATGGTTTACTACAGCTGTGACTAGGGCTTTTGGATCACTTGCACAGTTGCAGTACCCCTCAAACAGTATTTAAACCCACTTTCTAACATGGCGATATAGATTGGCTACTGCACTGCACTTATCTCATTTATAAGGCTCAAGCTCTATTTTTCCATGATCTTCAGAGCTGTAAAATGTATGTAAAAGCTGCAGAGGAGTGTTTGACTGGTTTTCAACAGGCTCAATTAATAATATCATTGATGAAAAACTACACGTTGAGACTAATCTGCTCGTGCAGAAAAGAATCTGATACAACAAAATGATAGCTTCTGATTCATCGGTTACAGGAAAAATGTACCTGACAGTGCTCCATGAGAGATTTTTTACACCTCATACTGTTGTGGAAGTGGAAAGTCTTTAAAGAACAGCAAATAAAACTGTTTTCTAAATGTTACCCCCCATAAAATGGTTTCATAACACACTGAGGGGAGATGTGCAAAATCTGTTTATTTTTCATCTTTCCACAAACAATATCTGATCCATGATTTTTGCAAATATACACAAAATCAAATACAGCACAATTTGATTGTAACGCAGGTGCAATGTAACAGATACAAAGTAAAAAACATATAAAATTGTTTTCAAAAGCAAATTCAAACACAAATGTAGCAAAGCATCGAAAAATATATATTAAACCCGATGTCAACCTCTCGTTTCAGATCCGAAATACTACTATTAGCATCCATGTGCAACCATAACAATGGTCTACAAATGCTACTGCTCTTCTGATAAGATACTCTCAATCAAACATTCTTGCAGCGACAAAAATAGCAAAAACAAAACATGACTCAATTCTTTCTGTCCCGTTACATCTTCCCTCTTCTCCACTCAATCTTTCAAATTCTATTATTTTCTTCCTATAGTAAAATAACCTTCATTCAAAATAAACATGCACTTTAACCTTGTCAACTCAGCTACTTCAGCCAACTTATCTTTGTATGGATGTATGTAAAGATGTATCTTTGGTGAGAGTATGTATGTATGTGAAGACGTATCTTTGGTGAGACTATGTATGTGAACATTCAGTGCAGTCCACTTCTATATAATACGGCATGTTGATACACATAGAGCTGGGTGGATGCAGGTAAGGCTGCCAAGGTGGCGTTGTATGCAGAGGTGTAAAGGAGAAGGCATCAGAGTGAGTTGCAGCAATGGCACAATGCCAAGTTGAGCAATGACATCATCGTTATCATTGTACTCCATCAGCATCAGAGCGTCTATTCAGCGTCATCTTTCAGAGTGAACCTAGAATAAAGAAAGAGACAGTCGGTCAATAAAAAAGTAATGATGATCCTCAAACAATGAAAATAGAGAACACAGTTAAATTATACTAGATGTAGCGATCCAGCGCTCCCTGATGTGTGTGTATGGATGGTTTTTTAGGTACTGCGTAGCATATTCCGTGCAATTTTTTGCAATGACAGTAAAGCTTTTCGGATTCTGATACTCCATCTCCATTTCAGAATGTTTCCATTCACTCCAGTGTCCATTTTTCTTCTGTGCACATACCTGCTAACTTAATATGCTAACTGGGCCTCAGTTGTACAGGCTAAATGCTCTGCAGATTGTCTGGAACATGCAGATTGTATGGACAGACAGCACTGAAGGGTTCAGTGGTGCTTTGAGCAGCTTCATCGTTTGTTTTTTTCCACAAAAACAACTTCAACCACAGCAGTCTTTCAAACATCTGGAAAATGTCCAGGCGTTTGTCTTTCACATATGAAGAACGCAGCTGGAGATTGTTTGAGTCGGATACTTTCACAACAACATGAAAATATCCAGAACATCCAGGTGAGGGGTGGTGTCTGGGTAGAGCATGAAGCAGGACATGACATAAATATTTCTGCTGAGTAAATCATAGTGATTTTGTTTTTTGTTTTGTTTTGAAGACGACGTGTATGGCTCCTCCTTATCCTGAGATATTTGCATTTTCCGGACATTTTACAAAGGCTGGCAGGAAAAAGCCCCTATGTTGAATTAATGACGCTCTCTGTCTCTTTGTCAGCAGGGAAGAATCTAATGTTTTTGTTAACAGAAATCATGTCCATCAACAGATGGTCAGGGTTGGTTGTTTACGATTGTTACTGAATAGATAAGGAATAGATTTTTAAATGGAGGCTGAAGAGCACTTTGTCTCTCCTCACCATTCTGTGATGCCAGGAATCAGGTCAACTTCAGCCAACTCGATCTGCACCTGGAGAACAGGAATGACACAATGTTAACATATATTTAGTGCCCTCCCAAACGTATTCACCAAGCTTCAGAGTGGAAGAATCGGAAAAGGCAGGGATACACTTAAAGTGAGCTGCAATGCCTAACATGGACAAGTGTGGATTTCAACACATTTTCTAAATCTGTGGGTTTTTCTGGACTAGTTACTTACTTGTGTATTTACTTCTGAACTACAAATGAATTACTACTGGCAGAAATATTACTGTGTGGGATGCACTACTTTTTAAAAAGTAGAAACACAAGACCTCCTGTGAGTCCCATGCCACATTAAGGGCTGATGTAAATACTGCAGAGTCTCAGACTGACCTGTCCAATCACATCACGGCTCCTGAACGAGGCCGAGTTGTTTTTCACTGATACACTGAGGCGCCTGAATCTCGTCTCCTCCATCAGTAGATCATACTCAAACCTGGAAGGAAATGCCGAAGATGATTAGACATGAATACTGAAGCTAACAAGGATCATAACAGATAAGAAAAAAACATTGAGTATGAATACAGTGCAGTCAGTCAGTTAGCTGATTACCTCTCCTTGTATTCTGGCTGCACGTCTCTTTTCTTCACTGCTGTCTTCCTCTTGGTGGCCTTGCTTTTGTCTGGCAGCAACATGAGGGAGACGTAGCTGTCGACACCATCCTTTGTCTGAGGCATCAGACCTCTGCACACAGACATAGATGTAAGTATAACTTAAATCATTTTTAAAAGCATATTTAAAACTTCCCAGCACATTAAATCAGTATAATGCCTCTGTAAAATAAATACAGAGCAATGTGCAAATTATGGATTACTCATTTTCTTCACTAGAGGTTTTATCTTGTTTTAGTTAATATACATACAAAAAACCAGGTACATGTACACACAAACATACAACACACATCACATCCATCTTCAAATGAGCTCTACTACCTCAGCACCACTGTGATGTACTGCAGTTCAGCAGCAAAGTTACCACTCCCACCACTACTACAAAAATCTTAATAATCAAAATTATAATAATAATATCATCCAAGATAGAAGAAGTGGTAATAGCAACAATAACAACAATAACCAGGAGGATATTATCACCAATATTATCAACTACAATAATCACAATAACATCAACTATAGTGGCAGCAGAGGAGCTAAAAATGAAGGAACAAACATATACATTAAATAAATAGATAAACAAGAAAGTGAAGGAAGGAATGCCAGGGTGCTCGTTCCATCTATTGGCAGGTTGAGACTTACAAGGATTTCCAGGGTTCCCATGTCAAGTTTTATCAATTATGTCCTCACTTTGTAAGTTCTTCTTCTAGAATAGTTTCAAAGATATATAAAAACCACATGTCTAAATATTCTGAGTGCCGAGAAATATAAACCTATTCTTTAACCTGACCCATAAAACTGGAGATAACACAATCTTACTAAAAGTGTTGCGGCACAGTATTTGAGGAAACACACCTGCAAGCATGGACGAACACAATGAGCTTCCTGTCCTGTGAGGAGTACGACAGCGTCAACTTCACCTGCCCAGCTCCAGAGCCGGCACAGGGCAGAGTGCCTGCACTGATCAAATCCACCATCTTGGAATCCAGGATCTATGGGAAACAAATTCAGCGTGGCATCAAAGATATCTTTGTTTTTTAGCAATCAAATACGTCTGGATTCTCACCTTGAGCTCAGCCCTCAGGAGGATTTGACTCTCAGGCGTGGCGCCATCCAGACGGAACCACTGGTCCAGGACCAGATGTGGTTCTGCAAGAAGCTCCTTCATGGTAACAACCAGAGATCCCATTGGCTGGTCCCAGCCACTCGACAGCTGCAATGCAAGCGAGGGAATGAAAGTTTCATTGAACATTTCTGCAAACAGCAGATATGCTCTCTTCAAACAAACAAATGTTAATAAAGGTCTTGCCTTTACGACGAGCATCTGATGTTTTGGCTCACGGACCAGGAAGAAGAAAGACTCGTTCCACTCAGGACTGGTGCTGCGGTCACACAGCTTAGAGACGATGAAAAGATAAGATAGCATCATTACATTTCAAACTGAATCAACTGGACTAAGTGTAGAGGACTGTGCGTGAGGATTCTCACTTTGGTTTTGTATGTTGTTTCACCCAGAATGAGCTCAGCACCCGCTTTGGGCTCCTTTCCACTTTTCTTCAACTGATGAGCCAGAGAGAGGCACTCAGATTTTATTACATGACAAATGATTTTCCTTAACTATTAAACAGCATGGGGATAAACTGCAGGCAACTTACAGGCAATGATTGTGCTCTCTCCATGTGGACAAAGAGCAGAGCAGCAGAGGGGACCGTTTTGTTCTGAAAAGACTGGAGAGTTTGAAGCTGCAGGACCTGCAATATGGAGAACAGCCCATTAAGCCTAGAAATAATGTTGTGATGAGAATTATGTTCCCTGCGTCTACGAGGCTGCTCTCCAGGGTACACATCAATAATCTGGATAAACAGAGGATAAAATCGGTGGCAGATAAAACTGTAAACACGGATCAAGGACCGACCTGGTCAAGTCTGATTGAATGTGAAACTGTAGGAACCCACTCCAGTATCAAATGAACCCGCCCAGACTTCACGTCGTTCAGCGTGTACCACTGCAACAGAAACAAAGAAGTATGGAAACACCCTTTAAATGAGAAAATGAAACCATTCACATGCTGTGACATCTGATTATGAGTTACAGACTAACCTGATCTGTGTACTGTGATCTGATCACCTCGTTCAGCTTAATGCTGAATCTGTGAATAAGAAAACAGGGAATTTTTAAAATAAGATTTCAATTTCACTGTCTTGATTCCAGATTGGGTGCACTGACACTGAGGATTATATTCAAATTTATATCATGACAACAGGAGGAACTCAACAAAATTTGACTTTTAAAACAAGAATATGACCCAGTTTGTTTCAGTGAAAACAGTTCTTACATAAACGAACAAAGGAGCCTACGTGTTAATATCTTGGACTCAGATATAAGTAACTGATTAACCAACAGTGAGCAGTGTTCAGGACACACACCTGCCCAGGAAGTCATCAGAATCTAGATCTTTATCGAACGCTTCAAACTTGATCTCCTGGAGGCTGTTCCTGCTCAACACCGTCTGTTCAAAATAGACAAAAAGCCACAGTAAGAAAACTAAATACTGAACATACAATGAAACACAGACTATGTTGAATACTTAAAATTAGAGCGCTTCCTACCTCATACATTTCATTCCACGTTGGGTTAAGATTCTCTTTTATAACGTGACTCTTAAACATAACGCCACCTATGTTGATTTTGACGTAGGGGTCGCTCTTGCCCTTCACCATGCCTCCCATCAGGTTGTCCTTTGCCACCAGATTCTGGGCCTCCAGCAGGTGAATCCTCAGCACCCCCTGCAGGATGAACATTGTAATTGATTTCAAAAATACAGGAAGTGTTTGAGCTTTTTATGTGTAGCTACTATAAACAGGACACCAAGAATATAGGAGGATAAAAGCATTCATTCTTTATGTCATGGTTTTAAATCTTTCTCTGCATATGCAATTCAACCTTTGTGGCCAGAATCACTGACATTCTTAATCTCCAACAATTTTTAGAGCACCTGGTAAAGAAACCTCTTCTCTAACAGAGGCTTATTGAAAGACTTTTCCCCACATCATTCCTAACAGTAGATGCATTTTTAAATAGATATTACTGCTGCCACTGTAATAGGTGAAAATACTCTTATAAGATAGATGCATTTCCTGTAGTAAAGAAAATCCACATAATCGGATGAGACCCAGCAGCATCAGTTTGCTTAAGTATTCACCATCAAATGATTGCAGACACAAATAAGGAATCAGTAAAGACTTGTTGTTATCAGATTCACAGCTTTGATGGAGCCCTGACATTTGCAGATAAAGACTCCCCTGAAAATTCAACCAGGGTTATCAACAACTCCCATTAGGTGCTTGGTGGAAGCTTAACTTTCAAATCTAAACCCACCTCCTCCCCAAAGTCCTTGCTGGGGCTGGTGTGTGCTGGATGAGTTTCTTTAGGCTCTGCTGGACCCAGGGTTTCAGCAGGAAGACCAGTCACTGTGGCGAAAGCAAGGCTATCGGGACCAGCACTACACACACACACACACACACACACACACACACACACACACACACACACACACACACACACACACACTCTAAAGTCAGGATTCTTTTTGGTGGAGTGATTGATCACTCTTCTACTATTTATACTTCTTTTTTAAATCATGATTAAAGATTCAGTGAGATGTAGATTGCAGCCAACTGAATACCCCTTAACCATAAAACATAAGAAAATAAAAAAGATCACTTTTAGAGCCGGTGTTTGATTTGTCACTTCTGACCTACTGTTAGAAACATGGCAGTGTCATATGAGGGACTCCAGATATAAAGTGCTCTGAGGTAACAAAAACACAAGTCTAACTTTCAGGTGATTACCAACAGATTCCCACTAAATCTCACACAATGGACCTTTAAGGCAACATGGAGCTCACCCCTTTGTTTGCTGTGGTTCAAAGTCTCCTTTCACTGATGTGTGTGATTGTGAGGGACACTCCTCCGCATCTGTTTGTTCTTTCTCCAGCTGAGCAAAATCAAATCATGGTTATGAAGGTGAAAACAGAGAAAACCCAATAACAACTGACTGATAAGTGATGAAACTCACAGCAACAGCAGAGGGGAATGTTTCAGGTGCAGCGTAAACGGCAGCTGGTTCAGCAGGAGCCGTGGGAGTACATGTTTCTGCTGCTTCGGGTTGTTTGGGCTGGTTGGATACAGCAACAGACCTGAACAAAGCACACACACACACACACACACACACACACACACACACACACACACACACAGTACATTTTTTAAAGTACATTTCCTGAGAAACTCCACCTACCCATTGCTACAATAACTCAAAGACACAGCAGTTTTCATCTCATTATTCTTTATGTTTTCGTCTGCGTTTGTTTGTCTGTCTGTCAAATTGTTAGCAGGATTACACAAGAAATATATACATAAACTGATACTGTGAAACTTAGTGGAGTGTCATTGTAGTTGCTTGTTTGTTTGAAACGTGTATTTTTTGCAAACTTATAGAATAGAACTTATGTGTGAGACATATTTGAATAGGCACATTATATAACATCAACCCAAACTCTCACTCATGTGTTGGCAGCTCTGGGATTTCTTCCTCTTCCATCGCTGCTCTGAATGCTTTGTCAGAGCTGGTGACAACCTCTTCTTTCTCTGAACTAGTCACAGAAGGCTGTGGAACTTCAGTCATCCTTGAATTCAGGATCTGTCAATAACACATTTCTGGATGGTTATTCTGTGTATCAGAGACAATGGCACCAATCCCCTGTGTTTGTGTGTGTGTGTGTGTGTGTGTGTATTTTTTCGTACCTTGAGTTCAGCCCTAAGTAGAATCTCACTTTCAGGTAAAGCTCCATCCAGATGCATCCACTGGTCCAGGACCAGCTGTGGCTCAGTGAGCAGCTCTCTGACAGTAACAACCAGAGATCCCATTGGCTGGTCCCACGCACTCGACAACTACCAGTGATCAGGGCACATTCATAAAGTCAGAGATTAAGCTATAATTTACAGCAGTGTTTAGATAGTGTGTATTACTCACCTTCACTATGAGCATCTCCTCTTTAGGATCCTGCACCAAAAAGTAGAATGGCTCACTCCACTGAGGAGATCTGGAGCGATCACAAACCTTCAATCAGAAGAAAAGGAGAAAATATAAAAATCATACATTTACAGCACTTAAAGTTGTGTCTTCCTTGTGGTTTCAACTAAAATATATTAACAGTGGAATTGTAAACACTGCTTACAAAGCTTCTGTCTGTTTTACTGTCGTTAGGCTAAGAGGAGCCAAAGTTATGATTCTAATTCCACACATAGAAGCTTTAGTGATTTACTCAGTAAATTGTTAGTCATTTACCTACACCCTTGTTTAGTTTCTTGTCTTTGTGTGTTTCATTTATTTATTATCAGCATCATACCTTGGTTTTGTAGGTTGTGTTTCCAAATACAAGCTCAGCCCCAGCCTTGGGCTCCTTTCCACTCTTCTTGAACTGGACACAGAAATATGTAACACACAACATTTGATGAATAGATTCAATCCCCTCTCTTCCTTTCTTCTAAAACATATTCTTAACTTGCTCAGCCAACAACTATTTTTTCATTGTTTTATTATTTTACTTATAAAACAAATTCTGAAGAAGAAGAAGTCATTTTACACTCTTTCATCTGAGCATCTCTTAAGCAGCACACCTCAGACTGTGTACACAATGACAAGGTACTCACAGGCAATGAGTGTGCTCTGTCCACATAAACAAAGAACAGAGCTGCAGAGGGAACAGCCTTGTTCTGGTAAGACTGGAGAGACTGTAGCTGCATCACCTGCAGCAGAGAATCCACACAAAAACATTACAGTGACTCATTACAGTGGGGATGTGCCCATTGAATCAGCCAAGCAGGTAATCTTATTTGGTTGAGCGAGGAACAGGCAACACAAATGATGACTAATTAATAAATGTGAATGATTGACAGGAGAAACCTGACCATATTATAAAAATGTTGCACTAACTTGCTCCAGGTTGTTATTACAGGACACTGCTGGAACCCACTCCAATATCAGGCGAACACGTCCAGACTTCACGTCATTCAGCGTGTACCACTGAGACAGAGATGTAATGTACATTTACTGAGTCACAGCCTGTGATTACACCAGAGGATCACATATTCATACACAGTAATTATACTCACCTGGTCTATGTACTGGGAATGGATGATATCTGCGACACTGATTTTGAATCTGTTTGCAATGAGGAATAAAATGCACATTTTAGAGAATAATGTGCAGTAAATGCACAATCTGTAAAATACGGCCTCATCACTCAAAAAGTGGACAAAATTCGTACAAATATTTCCTGATACTGTTACAGTCTTTGTTTTCAACTAAAAACATACATCATTGAAAATACTCAATTCATATTTTTGTTTCGTGAAAATACAGCACAAAATTATATACAAGTGATACTAGTAGTCGCTGTACAGCTGGAAACCTCCTCATTTGCCCTGACCTGCCCAGGAAGTCATCTTTGTCCATGTCTTTGTCGTATAGTTCTACTTGCATCTCCTGTCCAGACTGGGGCCTCAGCACCACCTGTGAGAACAGAGAACGGTTGCTGCTGGTTATCATTGTCATCTCCATTTCAATCAGCTTTTGAGAAGTCAAATTGTGAAGTCGCCTCTACACACCTCATACATTTCATTCCAGACAGGGTTGAGATTGTCCTTGATCACGTTACTCTTAAATGCATCATCTCCAACACTGATCTTTGCATAGGGGTCACTCTTGCCCTTTACCATACCACCCATCTTATTGTCTTTGGCAACCAGACTCTGGGCCTCCAGCAGGATGATTCTCAGCAGCCCCTACAAGAAGAGACCATTTGACTTAGATAGATAGATCATATATTTTATTAAACCTGATGGTGTTACATCCTCCTGCTTGTATCTGGTGCTGTAGATCACGATTTAGCGATGTACCTCACTGGCAAAGCTGAGGTCAGGAGAAGTGTGGGGAGGTTGTGCCATGACAGGACTTGGTGTTTCTTCAACCTTCTCTTCAATCACATCAGCTGCCCTTTCCTTTATGTCAACGTCTTCGTGTGGAGTGACTGAGGAGACGATGGTCTCCACACGAGGAGCGTCCACTGAACTGGACCTTAAACGTAGCAATGAGGGAAATTTAAGAGAGAACTGAGAAACAGATAGATGGATATATGGATGGATAGATGGATGGATAGATGGTTGGATGGATCGATGGTTGGATGGATCGACGGATGGTCTCACCTCAGCACTGTCTCTGTCTCAGGTTTTCGCTGAGCAGGAGAGGGGTCTGATGCTGAAGTGACCATGGCCTTATCAATGGCACCAGGACATTTGGTGGGAATCAGCAACTGCAGTTGAATTGGATACTAATTATTTCACTTTGTTAATCAGCTTTGTAATAATCCTGACTGTAAATATCAGTATCATTAGATCAGGTACAAAATTAGAGAACTGACTCTAAAGCCACAGACTCCAAAGATACAGACTGAGACATACACATTAGAAATGAACAGAGACAAATATTGTACATAGTTAAAGAAATACACAAACACTAACTATCTAGCATTAAACACAGAGAAAATGAAAAGACTCTCCGACCTTAAGTTCAGCCCTTAGAAGAACCCGACTTTCTGGTGAGGCTCCATCCAGATTGAACCACTGGTCCAGGACCAGCTCTGGTTCTGACAGCAGCTCTCTAATAGGAACCACCAGGGAACCAATGGGCAGGGTCCAGCTGTGAGAGAACTGGAAACATAACAAAGAAGGGGGGGTGGGAGTGTTTGTATAACAGACATTACAATATTTGCATCTATGGTGTGTTGAATAAGCAGTGAAGCCATCCCACCTTGATTACAAGAATATCTTTTCTGGGATCTTGAACCAGGTAACAGAATGCCTCATTCCACTGAGGTGATGTGCTGCGCTCACATACCTTTAGAGCAGAGGCAAGCATAAAAAAAATGTACTGATTTGGACTAGTACAATAACCACAATACGGAAAACCATCAAATGCAGTATTATCTGAATGAGTTGTGGAATTTCTCTTTGGGATTCACTGAAGTGCTCCGTATCTATTTTTGGTATCTTACTGTCGTTTTGCGAGACATTTCTCCAAGAGTCAGCTCTGCTCCCACTTTAGGATCTTTTCCGCTCTTCTTCACCTGCAAAGAGATAGAACAGGCGATTATGATCTTTGTGGTTTTACTGCTTTAACCCTGCATTGAATCCTTCACAACAATATCTAAGGCCTCACTGGTAAACCATCTGCTTGCTCGATGTACACAAACAGGAGGCCTGCCGAGGGAAGGGCTTTGTTCTTGTAGGACTGTCTGGAATTGAACTGAAGAACCTGAGGAGACAGGGAAGAGAAGGGTGAAGGTGAATCAAGCTAACCACAAAGCATCCATCAGTCAATGACTCGATCTGGAAAAACTGACCTGGTCCAACCTCTCGGACTCTGAGGATGTTGGAACCCATTCCAGCACCAGGTGAACTCGACCAGATTTCACATCACTGAGAGTGTACCACTGAGAATTACAGACAAACCGTGTTAATGTAGCTTATTAAGTTTCTGCAGGTTTTAAAATTCAGAACTTTTTGAAGAAGTAGGCCCATAGAGAATAACCCTCGATATGCTCATCACAAACTAAAGAGACAGTAGTTATCTCACCTGATCAGTGTACTGGGAATCAATGATGTCCTTCAAACTAATCTTCAACCTGTGTGTCAAGACATATGACATATGAATGTATCTTCCTGAATCAAATGAATGCATGTGATTATTAAATAATACGCAGCTACCTTCCCATGAAGTCATCCTTCATGTCCATGTCTTTATCCAACAGTTCCACAAGCAGGTCCTGGCCTGGCAGTTGTGTTAGAATCACCTGATGGGAGAACACAGTCACAATCTTTCAAACCAAAGTATACAAGACATTTAGAAATGCACTTTAACATTTTTCCCAGCAGTCAACATTCAGTAGAATAAAAATGATTTTCTTTCCACGACTTCCTGTTATTTACCTCGTACATCTCATTCCATGTGGGGTTAAGATTGCCCTTGATCACATGACTTGTGAATGTTTCGCCCCCAACATTGATCTTGGCGTAAGGATCACTTTTCCCTTTCACCATTCCTCCCATCAGGTTGTCTTTCGGAACAAGATTCTGACCTGCCAACAGGTGAATCCTGAGCACTCCCTGAAAAAAATGTCAAACTTTAAAATATGTGCAATAGACTCAGAGTGTTCTCACATAACATATATACACTGTCATCTGTTACCTCTGTGGCAAAGCTTGGATGGGGGGAGCTCTGTTGAGGCAGCTGTTTGGAAAGTCCAGCTGCCAGATCAGATGACACATCTGCTGCAATACGTTCCTCATCTAACCACAGGACCTATGTTACAGTGGAAAAAATAAGAGACAAATGTGACCAAAATCCCAGAATTTATTTTTAGTTGTGATCCCAGTATACACTTCTACTTTGTATTGTTTTTTGTGTATTTGCTTTTTTTAACTTCTTGGTCTGATGCATTGCAGGATTGATCAGTTGGTCTACTTGTGATTTACCCTGAGAACTGCATTGATATAGATGCGACTGGCTGTTCCAGAACTGTCCAACTGGAACCACTGGTCCAGAGAAAGATTGGCGTTGGACAACAAACGGGACAAAGGGATAGTCAGACTGCCCAAGGTCTGTACACGGTCGGCATCCTTCACCTGGTTCATTTAAAATGAAGAGAAAAAACAAAATAAGATGACAACTAGTATGTCTATCAGAATGCCTGCACTTTATTGCAGATCAGCTAAAGAGCTTATGCTTATGAGCTGTTACCTGAATGTCTATGTCCTGTTTGAGTGGATTGTGGATGAAGAAGGTAAACGCTTCCTCCCACTCTGGATTAACAGTTGTGTAACAAGTCTAAAGGCAGGAATAGAGGATAGGGATCAAGATTCACATTAATCAAAAATAAAAACATCACAATTGGTTTTCCTATTAGATATACCTTGCTCTCTCTTGTGACATCCTCCACAGACAACTGCACCATGGGATTGGGCTCTTTATTTCCCTTCTTCATCTAAAAGATGCACAAAATTAGACATAGAAATGTTCCTAAACGGTCACCAGCATCTGATACTCCTCTGATATTGCAGAAAATGACAGGGCATTGGCAATTTCCCGAATCTATGTACTGATCCGATACCACATCTTTAAAGTAGTTGTTTCTCACTGCGATAAAACTGCAGTTTTGTTTGCCCAGAAATCACTTTTTGTTTGCCGCTCCAAATCGGCAGTTGCACTGTACTGCCACTGGCAAGTACTATTTTTAGAGTGATGTGGAAGAAATGATTTCAGGTAGTGTAGTGTTAGCCAGAGCTAACTATAATGTCAGTAGTCTGGCAATATATCACACTGGAAGGTCCCACAAGTAAAAAGGTAAAAAGTGCCATGTGCAATACAGTTTCAAGGGGTGGCACTAGTGTGTAGCCAATTTAATCCTAGATTTGTTTGGTTGAAGTGGCTGTTACACTGTTTCATACTGTGACTTTACTCTAAAAGGTCTTTTATTTCTATAAACTGTGGCTGCACTAATTAACAGCTATGTATTTCTGGATTTGTTGGATCAGGTTTGTTTCAGTTCTCACTGTAAAACTAGAAAATAAAAGATGTCCTACGACATTAATTCTCCAGAGCCAGGCCATACAAGAATCATAACTTCCATACAGGGTTAACTTAATAGCATAGAGCTGTTAAAATGGATATAGGTTTTTTAATGCACTTGTATCTGATTGGTACTCTTTGTGTATGTCCAGGTATCAGAATGTGAATCTAAAAGGGGGAAATGTGCTAGAACATTTCTAAGTTAGACAAATATGAATACACAGTGAGGCATGTGAACAATGACTTGTTCTGTGACCAAGAGCAGAGCTAAAAAAAACTCATCAGCCCTTCTGACAACACATGGTTTATGTGAATAATAGTGTTTCAAAGGCTGCCATAGCAACAGCAGCAATAATAAGAGCCCTGTGCTGCTTGGTATAATCAGGAAGTAAGAGATCTGTAGCAAAAGAAACCACAAAGACTGAGCTTCATTCCGAGGATGTTTTGTTTTTGCAATGCTTTTGCCTTTAGTATGAGATATGAGAGTAGAAATGAGCACGGCGCACGCTATGTGTTCCGCAGTCCTGGATAAAGTTAGCCACACTCCACACTGCACTGGAGGGAGCAGGGTTAGAGGACAAGGCAACAACAATGAGGAATGTCTAACAGATGGCAGTTACTGCTCTGCTTCAAGTGTAACCACACACAGGAAACCACTCAGAACTGAGCACCAACATGGCGGCACACACAGAGATATTTGACTCACAGGAAGTGCCTCAGCCTTGTCCAGATACACAACCAAGATGGCAGAAGATGGTGGATCAGCAGTCTTACTAGTCACACTCTCGTTCCTCTTTAGGATCTGGGAGGGGAATGAACAGAGATTTTTTTTAACTGTAATTGTGTGACACAATAAGCTGAGGGGCACAAAGAAATCCACTAAGGGCACATAGGGTCATCACTTAAGGGGAATCAGTGTAAATAAGTATCAGTGGAAATAAGTGACTCAAACCTGCTCTAGTCGATCGCTGCTTGGCAGCAAGGTCAACCACTCCAGTCTGAAATGAACCCGTCCTGATGGAGTGTCCTTCAGAGTGAACCACTGGGGAAATAACCACAGACACACATTTACAATCCACACAGTAAATTCAGCGTGGCACAGCGAAAAACCACTTTCAGTGACCCATCTTTGTGAGTAATGGGAACACATTTTTGAATTCCTTACCTACAGAAATGAAAAACAACATGCATT